ATACACACACGCGCGCGCACGCGCACATACACACACACACACACACACACACACACACACAAACATAGAGAGAGAGACACACACGCGCACATACACACACACACACACACAAACATAGAGAGAGAGACACACACACACACATACACACAGACACACACACACACACACACACACACACACATCAAAGAGTGAAACAACACAGAAACAGACGGTCTCAGAAGAGTAGCAGTCAGACAGAACCAAAATCTATCAGACAGAACAAGGAATTCTTTTTCCTTCTTTAATTCTTTCTCTTTTTTACTCGCTTTTGTACTAGTCGAAACTTCTTTACGAATAAAAGATGGCAATTTGGAAACTAAGGGGTTCATGTGGCAGTGTGGTTCATAGGAAGGAAGGAAGAAGGAAGGAAAAGGAAAAAAAAATGGCAGAGTTGGTACGAAAAGTACGGTCGCACGCACGCACGCACACACACGCACGCACGCAAACACGCCCAAGCACACACACGCACGCACGCAAACGCGCCCGCGCACACACAATACACACACACACACACACACACACACACACACACACACACACACACACACACATATATATACACAAACAAACGCTCACATACACATCTCCTGTCCGCTCGCCCACTAATATCAACATAACAAGAGATAGTTCATCTCAACTCATCGTTCCCACTTAGAATGACACCAACACACATGTGTCACGACACTTACTATGATCCTTACTTTTATAATTTCATGAATGTCTTTTTTCCCAGCTATGGTACTAAGTGGGGCATTGACGGTTACATTCTGATGAGCAGGAATAAGAACAACCAGTGTGGTATTGCTACCGCGGCGAGCTATCCTACCGGCGTCAATTAATATAATACATTTGTCACGAGAACTAAGTGCCTTAATTATAGTTTGTTAAAAATGCAGTAATATTTGTTAACATTTGGCAATTTTATTTTTGAATAAAAGTATTCTTCAGAGCGAAAGTTCCAATTATCGTTAATTTCTAAACAGTTGTAAAGTTTTCTGTTTGACTAAATTTTTGTTGGGATCATAAAACCTCGATATTAATCAAACGCACTGATTGATTTTCTTCTTAATGACACACTTAATGTCTTCTTGGTTTGAAATAGTTTTGAACTTCGCACAAAGATAACCGAGTTATTACCAATTACATGGGCATTTAATTTTGTTAGACTGTTGGCATCTTCATTCATTTATTGTTTTCATTAAGTCTTTCGCTCCCTTAGGTTTGTTTTATATTTCGTGTCTTGTTGTTGTTTTACTTTGGTTTTTGCTTAAATTGTAGTACTGGGCAGACAAACTGCGAGGTCTAGAAAACAGCATAATGTAGTCAAGTGCTATGGCTATGGAAAGAAAAGTAAAGTTGTTCCCTCAACGGAGCCGGATATTGGGGGTTGCCTTGTTAGTGAGACAACTCCCTGGACCTTCGGCATATTGTTGTAGGGTGGCCAGTTCCATTCTACGCCGCCTTTACTTCCTCAACTCGAAGTCAGGAACCCATTACTGCAGGGTAGGCAGGAGGGGGCGAAAAAAATCTGAGTCCGAACCGAGGCTCGAACCCGGACTTTCCACTTTGGAGACCAGTGCACTAACCGCTCCGTCACCGCGCCCTCGTTATGGCAACGTATTGAATCAAAAACATAATTATCAACGCTTCAGAATGGTTCACATGGATAATCATGCCTTTTGGTCTGATAAATTGTCATTTCATCCCACGACTCGTCGTATGTCTACTTGTACTATATCTGTTGTGCAACACGAATTAAGTTTGGCTGTGAAGAAGGAAGAGGCCCACCTGACCTGGTAGGAGACACAGGCTAGATGACAAAAAGAGTCCTTTGTCGAATTTCGTATAGTATATTATCACTGCATTCTATACAATAGCTTAATCATAAGAGTATGTGTTTGGACAATCGTACATCTCATTCATTACTAGCATTGCATTCTTTAAAGTAGTCTAAATGAAACAGTATGTGTTTGAGTAGAAAGAAGCAAATGGACTCGATGGTGGTCGTTTAGTGCTTGGGAAGAGCACAACAGATAGACAGACAATGAAGAACACAAGTAAAGAAGTAAGAACTTCCAGCGTCACACTCCAGTGATTCTTGAAATGTACGAAACGATGGTACATAATGCACTTTCAATGAAGGTGGTATACAAAATGTTTGAAATAAACGGGTGTTACATTGACAAGGTAACATTAGACCCAAACTAAGGCCTAGAAGCCTAAATGAGTTTGTGTTTGTAGACGGCAAAAGCGTTATTCATTTTTAAAAAATCACGCGCCTAAAGTCTCACACCAAAACTCAACAATAGCTGTAAAACATTTGACATGGAAATGATCACTTAAAAAACAGTCCTGAAAATCAGAGAAAATCATAGTTCCCTGAATTTTTATGTAATTACAAACGACTGAAGCAGGTCAAGGAGTACAAAAACTTGGCCAGATTTATACAGAAAACAGGTCAAAAGATAGATAAATAAAATTACGACTCAAAAAAAGCAAACAACATCATCTATCAGTTCGCACTTCTTCTATTTTATCCAAGCACCAACATGGACACAAAGGGACAGCTTATCACTTCAATTCTCCAACACAATGCAATCTATGAGAGAACTGGACATTCAGTACACGCATGAAAGCAAAACTACTACATGCGAGGTTAACTTTGTGTACTCAAAACCCATTATGTCTCTAGAAAAGACAAGCAGAGAAATAAAAATGTAAGAACACCTGAACCTTTCCCTGAAAAACAAAGAGTGAAACGGTTTTGCCATTGGTCAGCCAGGCTTTGGAGACTAGAAAATAACAACTTAGGCTAAAAGTGAGGAGGTAGACACTCAAAAGATTTAGATTCAGAAAATGAAATCATCTTGTAAATTAATGATCCCATGTTTTTTCCTAAGCCAACACACTGAGGTTGTGACTGTCTCCTCATGATTCGAGCGTTACGGTCTCCACGATGTTTAGTTGATCGCCACCGATCACGTGTTGTTCGGCCTCTGCCAAATCACCTGAAGAAAATGCATGTACATACTCACACTGACTCTCAAGCCACGGCTAAACCATTCTTTCTGCTGTACATCGTGATCGTCGATTGAATCTTTTGACCCGTAGACCTGTACACGTTTATATCAATTTCCCTAGCTTCATCACTAATACGTGTGTGCCTCTCTTCTTGAGCACGAGCGTGATCCTTGATCAAAGTCGAGATAAGCCTGGCTATCACATTGATTTTGTCCTCAACGAAACAAAAGAAAATAAAAAGAAATAAAAAGACGGATAAAGACAAAGGTTTCGTGACAGTCTCGGGAATCTGGCCTCTGAATGACTTGATATTTGAAGACGATGAATTTTGCCCTTCAGCTGTACCAGATTGATCGGTGCAAGACAAAGACACATCAGCTGCAGCTCCTATCGGCTACAAAACCTTGACCCCACTTCACCCCAATCACCGTCCCAAATCAACGGAAACTGTCCCAGTTCATCACTTGTATACGTCATGGTTGTAAGTATGTATAATTCAGTCATTAATGAAAATAACTGCATAATAACGTTTTGTTTATGTTATTGTTCTTTGGGTGTTATTTAACGTATAACTCATATCAGGCCTGAGTTTTACAAGGGAAACATAATAAACTACGACAACCAGAGGGCAGTTCTTTGCACACAAAAAAACCTCTGTGCATGTACAATAAAATGCACAAATTGATCTCGTCTTGAATATTATTATTGTTAATTGCTGTTTGTAAACAGGGGAAATAACACATTCTGTTTCCTGCATTCGTTTATAAAAAAAAGAGTTGTGTACCTTGCGTAGCTCTAATTTTCATTTCTCAAGACTGAAACGTGTTCGAGGAACTTGACTTCTCAACCACATGGTCATGGAGCTCTTTTTCGTGATCAGCGAAGTTAACGAGTATTGAGGGCAATATTGATATTCTACAATAATTAGTTGATATTCCTTTCTGGTGTGTAAGTATATTATATACACAATGTTTAAATAGATAGATAGATAGATAGATAGATAGATAGATAGATAGATAGATAGATAGATA